AAGCTCAGTAACTGGCAGACAGTATGGATTAATCGATTATCTGTTAAAAATGTGTGTGCCTATGTAAGCCAGAATGATCTGCGGAGGCGAAGCGAGTGCCCGGAGCAGGAAACTGCTCTCGCCCGGCAGCCGCCCGCGGGGAGAGGGGTATCAGCTCAGCCCCAGCGGCCGGCTTTGCGGGAGGGCGGGCTTCGCCGGGGGCGAGCGTCCGGCCGGGGGTCCTGCCGGGGAGCCCGCAGGGGCGGTGCGTGCTGCCTGCGTGGGCGCCTGGCCAAGGACTGATAGGTCGCCAGAGGTGTCTGAATATTCTGGGGAGCTGGGCCGTTCCCCGGGGAGGAAGCCCGGGCTGCCAGTAACCTTTAGGCTCCACGTCTTTGAACCCGAGTGTCCTTACAGGTAAAATGAGGGAAACGTTCCGGGAAATGGCTTCTTGGTCTTACATTGTATGAGTTCAGGGAGGGAGAAGGAAAGGCCCTGCATCCCACTGCTGGCGCTGAGTGCGAACGGCTCCGGGCCTGCCTCCCGCCGCTCTGCCTTCCTCACCAGGCTATCTCGGCAGGCTCTCTGGGCGTAGGCTCTCCAAGCCCGTTTCCTCGGCAGCCTTGTGGGGACAAAACAACAGCATGTCTTCTCAAGGTGGTTGTGAGGATGAAACACAGTTCCTACTTGCAGTGTTCGGTGCGGTGCCGAGCAGGCTGCAGGCTGCAGGCCGGAGCTCACTGTCATCACCAAGCGCGCTAAGTCAGAGCAGAAGGCTCAGGTGGCTGTGGGTGCACCCATAGGAGCGGCAGCAGGAGAGGATTCGTTCCTAACAGCCCTGCCCGCCAGCCTGGCCCAGGAGTAAAGAATTCCTCGAGTCTTGGATCCCCCGGGTCTGTGAGCTCCGGAAGAGAAGAGCCATGCCTCTTCATCTCCTAGTACTTTCTTTGCACATAGTCTGTGTCTGATACATATGAATTGAATCGATTAAAATGAGAACATGCAAGAATCTTTGCCACTTGACCAGCTACACAAGCAGACAGCATGCCTGATTAAATTGACCACCAGTCATAAGCTTTCTGTCTGGTTTCTGGTTATTTTTTAGTACTGAGACCAGCCTGGTGTGAGCCTCCTGCCTTCTCAGTGGAGTAGGTTATAGTCCTCAGTTTACAGTGGAGAGAACAGAAACTTGGAGAGGGAACTTCAGAGGCTCTCCCAGCACAGAGCCTGGCATGAAATTGAAACAGCAGGGTTCATCTTGGTTGTCATTTCTTTTAAATTGTTATTTGAATCCTCCATTAGAATTGTTTTCAAAATAATTGAGGTTCCATCAATGGATTTAAATTGTTAGCTTATTGTTATTTTGACTGCCAAGTCAAATACAATGTATGTAATTTGAATTCGGAGAGAAGATAATGCATAATTCAAATTTCATGACAGATAATGAATGATATACTGGGGCTTATAAATTAGTAGTTCCCTTGGGGAAAATACTAAAGTACTATTATGGTATGATTAATATCAGAAGACTGTAGTTTTTCTAAACACACACACACACACACACACACACATTTCCTTTAATCTGAGGCTTAACAAAATAACTATAAAGCTTTCCCACCCCCCCTGGCCTGCCTTTGTGTGTCTGCCAAAGCAAGTGATGGGGGCTGACTCCACTGCTACCCATTTTCATTTAAGCGATCTTCTTTCCTTTTCATAGTTTTCCTGGTGACTCCACCAGGACAGGGTCTGCACTACTTGTTGCCTCCAACCAAAGCCTTGTCAGGTGCAGTATACACACAGGCCTCATGTGTCTTGCTGTCCTTAACTTATCAAGTCCTCAAGGCCATGGTAAGTCGGCCTTGAGTCTGACCTCACTCTCTTAGCATTGAATTCCTTGGCTATTTATTCTCAGCTTGGTACTCACGTTTTGTTACTGATTCCCATGCATCTTTGATGGAACCAGGCCATTCATTTCATTTTGCTGTCTTTTTTGTTACTGTTTTCTGTGCTGTCTAAAAGTGCTGTTTGTTATAAGAAGGAGAATCATAGGATAGACCACAGGCATGGGCGTCAGAACACTGCTGCTGAAGCTGGCCTCACAGACCTGTGAGTTTGGGATTCTCACCAGACCAGCATCCACTAGGACAAACGTTGCTGTGGAGTCACCAGCGAAACCGGATGAGGTTCTTCCATCTGGATTTTGTGTCCCGAGAGGTGAATGAGCCTTCTATTCCTAGTCACTGTTGCCAGTTCTCATGGTCTTGTCTAAATCTATATCCTCGCCTCCTCCAGGAAAAACTCCTGCTTCTTATATTGTACTCTCTTTACAATTCCAATTTTTGCACCTATTTCTCTAAATGGCATAACTTCACCAAGAATTTTTGGGCCTTCAGTAACCACGCTAAGGAACATTTAATTTGAACAGGTTGTTCATTTGAGAGATACATTAGAAAAGAAAGGGAATAAGATTTGCCAGACCCAATGGCAGCATTTTTGATTGATATTTGAAAGACTCCAAACAATGTTCTGGTTCAAAAATTGTATCACTAAAAGATTCTTTGGCCAGCTAATGAGCAAGCTGACATACTTAAGCAACAAGAAACTCATGTTCCTAGGAGAACGCCCTCGGATCGTCCTCCTGCCTTCCTATATATCCAGCTCTCCCTCTTCCCCTCATCCTTCTGATCTCTTTCCTACCACACCTCTACCCACCCCTCCCTCCTCTTTCCTTGTCTACACCCCTTACTTTTCCCCAACAACTTTCTTTTTTTTTCAGTTTTTAGTTTTTAATGAACTCGTAAACAAAAAAGCTCCCATTTCAAAATAAAAACAAAATTCCAGATCATATAGATGTTTACAGTGATTACATTTATCTAAGCAACATACAAACCTATTCAGTTTTAAGATGTTAACTAAATTTCTGTGACAAATATGCTTTTTTTAAATACCAAGAACATTATAGAGTTAATGCAGAGACGTAAGGATAATCTAGTAGTCACTAAGTTTTTCTTAAGTCTTCATTTTTTGGTGCTGTTATTTCTAGCACAGGTAAGCAGGCAGTCTTTTATATGCTCAAACACTGGAATCTTTGGTTGCTACCATATCAGCTGGCTTGCAAACAAGAAGCCAACCATTTTAAGAATGTGTTTTAAGTGAACAACTTGCAAACCCCAGGGGTGGATAAACCCTAAGAACGCACAATTGTGAGCATTTACAACCATCACAACTGTGGCTGAAGACTGTTCATGCCGTTCTTCTGAAATGAGATCTCAAAGCAGTATAGTTCAAAGAAAAAGATTTTAACAAAAAATTGGCATATGCACAATCTCTCCACCAATCTGTGGTGTCAACCATTTAGTTAACTTTTCCACTTGAAAAAATGCAATAGAAAACTGGACACCATGTTTCACTATCTCAGTTAATATTCACAATTACTGCAGCTACAACTCGGGACACAGCATCACCAATGCTGCCCAGAGCCAGTCTATACTGAAATTAAGTCCTTTACACCAAGTAAATGGTTGTCCACAACCCCTGGCTAGTGTACATATGAACTAAAATTTCTAGATTTGGGGAGAAACAAATGCTGCTCCGATCATCTGCACTGCTTCTTCTGTTCCTTGATTCATGCGTAGAAACCTGTGGGGGTTTGGGCCTGCTGACCCTGCCCACTTGAGGAGGCTGCCTGCGGTGCTGCTTTCTGCTTTAACATTGTCCAGTCAAATGTGTAGTCATATTGGTGGTTCAGGGTTCTGAAAAGAATGCGGAATTGCTGCCTCAGATACATGTAATTCGGGGCTTCCTCAAAGAGCAGCCTACGACAATAGTTTAAGTACATGGCAAATTCTGCAGGAAACCCCTTACATAAAACTTCCACAGGAGTGGACATCGTCTTTTCACTAATTTCTTCATATTTTTGTTTCTTTGTTGCAGCCTTAATCCTTGCCATGGCAGGCTGGTTCTATTAAAATACATCAAAACAGATCCTAACGATTCCATGTCACCCCAGCGACTCTGTTCAATACCAAGATGTGCATTGATTCTAGCACATCGGGCAGTGCCAGTGAGATTTTTATTTTCTCTGTACGGTATGTGTCGCCTTGTCCTGTTGTCTCTGTACTTTTTGGCCAGACCAAAATCAATAAGGAATAACTTATTACAGTGACGCCCAATGCCATTAGGAAGTTATCTGGTTTCATGTCTCTGTGTATAAAATTCTTTGTATGCACATATTCAATTCTACTGATCATCTGGACAGCGAACATAAGGAGTTTTCATTGTGAACCTTCTTGCACAGAAATTGAAGAAGTCTTCCAGGCTGGGTCCAAGAAGACCCATGACTGGCACGTTGTGGTCTTTTTCCTGACCATACTACCGTATGTGGGGGATGCCAACCCCACCCTGAAGAATCTTAGAGAGTTTGCTCTCCTACAGCAACTGCGGGTGCCTGGCCTTCTGAGACTCTAGCTTCACTGACACCTCCTCTCTATGGGTGATGCTGATCGCCAGATAAATGTCCCCGGAAGAGCCAGGCGCGATCTTCGGTACCAGTTTGTATTTCCCTCCGACAATGAACTCGGCCGCTGCTGCTCGCCATCGTGGGAGACAGAGATGGAGGCGAAGGCTGGGGCCCAGCCCTGACACCTCGGAGAGGAGGACGCGGGGCTCTGGGCTGGTCTGGGGAGCAGGGCTGCGGAGGAGGGCGACAGGGAACCGAGCACGTGGGCTTCTGGCGTCACTGCCCCCTCACCGCCGCCCAGTCAGGTGCTTTTGTGCTCGGCTGCAGTTTGTGCGGGGTTCCCGGGGCTCCCCAGCTGGGCCACTTGTGTCCCGGTGGCCGCCACTGCCTCGCTTTCGCAGCGATGTTGGGGGCTGGAAAGGGGGCGCAGTGAGTTAGGGCGGGGATACCGCTGCCAACGCAAAATGCCCCCAGTCCCCGGGAGCATTTCACCCCCCAAAACAACTTTTTAAGATCGCAAATTCCATTTGCCTCTGAATGTCCGGTCCTCTTAGGAACTAGGTATGTAGGCAACTGTAGCATTTAAACCTTGGATCCAAACTGAATTAAGAGCTATAATTAAGGATTTCCTCAAACCCAGACAAGACCAGCAATTATTCATAGAATTATCTAGAACAGTGGTCGGCAAACCACGGCTCGCTAGCCACATGCTCTTTGGCCCCCCCTTGA